TCTGTCCTATCTGCACATTTCCCAGGCTCATAGTCACCTGTGGCCAGTGGCAGGTGCACTGGGCAGAGCAGATTTGAGCCCTCTCGAAACTCTGACACCATGAGGTGCTGTGCCTTTGTTCAGTTAATGCTTACAGAAAACTGAAACTGTTGCCTAGAGGTCCCCTGGGTCTGAGAGGGCCAGGGCCTTCACCATCCAAGCGGCCCCTGAAGTTAGAAATACTGAAAGGAAGGTGACCACGAAGGCAACACAGCCAAGAAGCATTATCCATGCCAAATAGCCTTGCTGCAGTGGAGAAGGGTGGGGACCCTGAGGGGCCCTGACCACTCGCCCTAGAGCTGGGTAGCTCTAGGGTCCCTGGCGCCATACTTAGGAGGTGCTGACGGAGGGAGCCTGGCGCCACTTTCCAGCTTGGCCGAGGAACTGCTGGCATTTTCTGCAGTGTGCTCAGAGGAGCGGGCATTGTCTCACTGTTCCTGCCTTAGCTTTCCTCTCCTCCATCATTGATCAGGACCTTCTGCCCTTTAATTTCTACAGAGAGCTGATTCTGCACATTGTGTGATAGGCTGTCGTCTCAGGTTGACAAGTGACCCTTATTTCCTGTTTGTGCTCTGATAGCATTTCAGTGTCGCTATAGCGTCTGTCTGGGGTCTGACAGGCCAGCTGGGGGATGTGGCCAGGTAGTTCCCCCCAGGTCACCTGGACTATGAGTATTCATAGAGTGGCTGGACATTTGGGGCCTGGTTGGGCAAGGTTCTGGTGGGACAGGGATTGCACAGAGGGGCATCTTCAAGATGGCATAGTGGGAAAAAATTAAAAGATGGTACAGTGGGAACTCATATCAAGGGGTGGATGTTTTGTAGAAGATGGAAGGGATGGGAAGATGCCTTGGGTGGGTGGGGCTTACAGGTCACCTTCCCTCTGGGTGTGCCTGGGAACCATGTGATAGGATGTGCCCGGTCTCCTGCCCTAGAGTCGCCCAAAGAGGACAGGAGGGCGTCATGGCCAGAAATGCCATTCTTAGCTCACTTCCTGGGTTTTTTCCTCTGGACTTAGGAAAGGGAGACACTGATTAGAAAGAGCTGATAAAAGAAAAACAAGCCCACAGTTCTTTCCTGAGGCTCTGTCTCCTTATGTTTTTTTCTGAGAACAAAATATCCACACATGTGCATGCTTAGGAAACGATGGTTCTGCCTTTACTAGATCTTTTATGGTGCCCTCAGCTTTGGCAGAGTACAAGTTACAAAGCCTGGCTTTGCTTCTTTTAGTGCAAAAGTATAAAATATGAGGGATCTTAAGCACATCTCTAAGCTGTGGTATTCCTGGGTGGTGGGTCTGGGGTCAAAGACAACTCAGAGCCTGTGGGCTTCTGGGGTATGGGACCAGGCCTCTGAGATGTCCAGAGGTGGACAGATGCATGGAAGGACAGATATGGCTTAACTACGGAACGTCCCCAAAACACTTGTGTGTTGAGAACTTGATTCCCAGTGCAACAGTATTCAGAGGTGGGGCCAGAGAGGTGACTGGATAAAGACACCAACCTTATCATCTGATGGATTTATGGCTTTGTGGCTTGGGGTGTGGGGTCGGGCTGGAGGCAGTAGGTACTGGGGGTGTGCTTTGAAGGTTATGTCCTGTCTCCAAGCCCTTACTGTCTCTGCCTTTCTCTCTGCTTCCTGGATGCCATGAGGTGAACAGCTCTCTATTATGAGGCCCTCACCACAGGCCCAAAGTAACAGAGCCAGTAGACCATGAAACCTCAGAAGCCATCAGCCAAAGTAAACCTTTCCTCCTTCAAGTTGTTTCCCTCAGGTATTTTGTCATGGTGATGAAAAGCTGACTGAAGACCCTCGGAGTGCCTGGGGGCCAAGTGTCTGGGTGGGAGTAACCCCTTCTTCTTGCAGACCTCAGGTCACTCCACAGGGGCTGCCGGCGAGGAGGCTCCTGAGAGCACTGTGGCAGCAGCCTGTGGCAGCTGAGCAATTCCCAGGTCCTGTGGGGGCCTGTGAGGAAGGTGTGCAATGTGTCCCTGCAGATGCAGTCTCTGGGGTGACCTGGGGCCATGTTGGAGTTGGGCCTGTGTGAGTCTGAGGCTGCCTGGGGAGGCTGTTGCCTGGAACTTGTGGAGACTTATGGAAAGGTCTTCTGTGGACCTCAGTCAGGGCTGGACTTCACGGCCCGCCTGGTAGGAATGCAGTCACAGGGGACGGCAGGGTCCCCAGTCAGCTGAGCTTGTGTCTTCAATGTGGCTGACCTAACATCTCACCCTCATCTTAAAGTTTTTCTGCAAAGTTGATTGATTTACCATTAACATTAGGATGTTTGCTGTAGGTCAAGAAGCATGTAAAAAAGGAAAACAAGAAGCTTTTAAAGTGCTTTTTATTATGGGAGTTGTTGTAGTACAGCAAAGCAGGCAGACAAGTACAAAGGTCCCTTTTGTGCTGTCTCCAGCCCCACCGTCCACCAGCTCAGGCCCATCTGTCTCATGAACCACACAGTAGATTTTGAAGAAAATCTTGGACACGCTGTTAACTAGTCCATATACGTATATGTCAGTATGTAGCTCTAGAAGATGAGGCCTTCTAAAAAAGACCTGTTGTGCAACCTCAGAAACAGTATCCTCATGCCAGTCAGATATTCGCTCTGAGCTGGGTGAATCCTAGCAGTCTGGGAGGCTGAGGCAGGAGGGTTGAAATTTCATGCCTAGCCTGGGCAGTATAGTAGCTGAGTGAGACCCTGTTTCCAAAAAAAAAAAAAAAACCACCACTGTCAGCTGTTCAATTCTTCACAAACATTTGTTTGAGATCCATTTATGCAGCCTTGTTTGAATCCTGCTACATGTAAGCGTGTTAGTTGATGTCTTTTTGGGGGTAGCTTTTTAAAGGTTAACTGACATGTAATAAATCGTACATATCTAAACCGTATAATCAAGACAAGGAAATGACCTTCCATCTCTGTGTCCCTGCAGTGTGGTTTAACATGTCATGATCCCCCCACCACCCCAATAGGGGAAAGGGCTCTGTCCAGAGGGCTCCAGACCTAGAAGTTGCTGCTTGTGTTCCCGTGATGTGTTTAGCAAGACTCTGTTCTGTGAACTCCCTTAGGTGGGTGGGAAAGCCAGAGGCTGACTGGGATTTGGCCTTGGTTTTCAAGCTGGGAGGAGCTGAGAGGCGACAGGGTCTCTCCAGAGGTGCGTGTGCTGCCTCCTCATGGAGTTCGGCAGCCGCTGCGGTGGTGCTGGGTGCAGCAGTGTCCCTCTCAGTTGCTTCGCAGCATGCTTGTAGAAAGCGCAGTCCCCTTGCCTGCTGCTTGGTGACACAGTGGGAAGGACAGTGTGTCAAAGACCAGCATGAAGTCAGGGTGTATATCCTCTTTCCTGTTTTGCGGAGTAAACTTCATCCGGACAACTTTCTTTTTGTTAACATTATGAATTCGGCCTCAGTGTATTTGCTGTGTTTCAGTTGCTGTAATTTCTTGGTGCCAGGCTGTCCCATCTTTGCAGCGGGAGCTTTTGACTTGGCCTCATTTCCTGGTCTGCTTTGTACTGTCACATCGTCCCCCAGACTGGGCAGTTTGGAATAGGCAGAAGCTTACCAGGCCAGTGTCAGTGTCTGTCCAGGTCTTTCCTACTTAGTTCCTTGATGGGAGGAGACGGCTCCAGCCGGGCCCAGCTCCTGGCGCCTCAGGCTGCTGTGGGGCACAGCTCCTCGCTGGCTTCTGCCATCTCCTCTGGGGGTATGAGAAGGATAGAAGAGGCTCCCAGTCACAGGGCACTGCTTGGTGCAAGAGAGGCATCAGAAGCAGCAGCTGTTGCCCTGCTCGGCGCGGGGCGCAGATGAAGTGCTGCTCCAGGTGTGCAGCTCTGTGACTGGCTGGGGTGGTGGAAGGAAAGGGAAACACTGGAAGTCTTCAGAGAGAAGAGCATTGGAGGAGCTGAGGACTGGAAGCTCGTGCACGTGCAGCTCGGTCTGTGGACAGAGCCCGGAGATGAGCCGTGTGCTGGAGTCGCACGTCCCCGAGCACCTCATGGCCAGTTCAAGGACCTGGCGCGTGCCTCTTGGAGCCCTCTTGCCCTTCACATCGTCCCTGTCAGAATGGAGCGGAGACTACCAGTTAACAGAAGGACTCTGCTTATTTTCAGAAAAAATGAAACCTCTTAGGACAAGGTTGACATTTGCTTCAGTGCTGTGCCATTTCTAACATGCTGCTCTTCTTGTGGGAGAAGGGAATGTGCTTGAGCTAAAATGGATCTGAGAACCTTTAAGCCTACTTCATTTTACCCTTACGAGTCAGCACACATCACAGTCTTTCTTCTCTGGGATTGAGAAGCTGGCCTCATGCCTAGTGGTGCAGTTCAGAGACAGAGCGTTTACCTAGCCCTCTCCAGCCACGCACACAGAATTGGTTCGGGATTGAGTGCGAAAATACTTTGGCATCATCTCCTGTTTACTTACAACTGCTTGGTTCTGGTGACTTTGAGCAAAACTTGCCAAGATGGGTTGGGGCGCCGACGCTAAAGGCCTCACTGAACTGACCCACCTCCAGGCTGCCTTTTCCCAAATTAATGTCCAACTGTTTCCTTTCACAGCTGCAGATAATGAATTTTAAATATAACTCTTTTTTTTTTTTTTTTTTTTTTTTTTTTTTTTTTTTTTTTTTTTTTTTTTTTTTTGGTATCGGGGATCGAACTCAGGTTCTTGTGCTTACGAGGCAGGCGGCAGAACCGTAAATATAACTCTTAAAATAATAGTCACTTATTGACCTGTTACTCATCCGTCGATCTTTACATCATTAGGAGTGCTTCCCCTCATTTATTCTGTTTGAAGTCCTGTATTTGTTATGAGATGATACATTTTATTTCTGTGCTTAATGTAACTAAGATCAATTTCAAAATGGTAAGTGGGTTTTTTTTGTTTTGTTTTATAAGTAGGTATTTAAAAATGGTTTTTAAACCATGTTTATTCTGGAAGCTAAGCACGCCAAAATGTTTCTCCTCTTAGATCTCCAGTGTCAACTAGGTTTTTATCAAGAGAAAGATCATAGCTTGAAGTTGCTTCTGCTACTGAAGTAGATCAGATACGATGATCCAGTAGGAAGACTGAGCACTGAGGCGGCGACAAAGCCTGCTGCTGAAGGATGAATGGGGAGGAAGAGTTCTTTGATGCCGTCACAGGTGAGCTGAAAGAGAAGATGATCTGGAGACCAGGGTGTGTGGGAGTCCATGGCACTCAGAGCAGGCCTGAATTTGAGATGTGGCCTGGCTCAGCAAAATGGGGCCACGAAAGACACATTACATAAGCCCGATGCCAGCTCATTAGAAAGAATGTGATGTGCTTTGTCAGAGGTGGGGAACCTTGACTTTAGATTTCGGAAGACAGCATGAAGAGGCAGCAAAGTTCAAAGTTTTTGGAAGATCTCCTGGGGCTAGTTTTATTTGGATCCTGCAAGAAATGATCTGTTTGAGTAAGATGGTCAATAGTCTTCTGTCACTTAATGATCAAAATTACTGGTCTTGCCACGTGTACTAGGTATATATGCCTGTAGTCCTAGCACTCGAGAGGCTGAAGCAAGAATAATTCTGGTAGTTCAAGGCCAGCCTGAAAACAAAACAGCATGGTGGCACATGTCTGTAATCCCAGCACTTGGGAGGCAGAGACTGGAGGATCTCCAGGAGTTTGAGCTCAGCCTGGGCTACTTAGTGAGTTCAAGGCCATCCTAAACTGCATAGCAAGACCCTGTCTCAAAAAATAAAACCAAACAAACAAAAACCAACAACCCAAAAAATCATCAGACTTAAGACTGTGTCTTTTTTGTTTTGTCTTTTTTGTGGTACCAGGGATTGAACTTGAGACCTGCGCTTGTGAGGCAGGCATCAGAACCACTGAGCCAAATCCCTGGCCCCTATGTCTTCATTTTTGCTCCCCACAGTACGCCCTGAAACAGATTACTTGATTTCAGTGCTCTTGCTGCCTCATAGTTCAGATGTCCTTCACTTTGGGAAGACATTTAAGGGGAGATCTGCATGGTTGTGCCTGTGGAGGTGCGGCTCACATGTGTGTGTGGGGGGGGACAGAGAGGCCACACTGGCCTGTTCACTCAGAGCTGCCAGTGTCTTCACTGCCTGTCCCTGGGAGAGCAGAAGTGCTTGAGCCACAGAGGCCTGGACTCCTTACTTCAAGACTCCTCACTTCAGGTGCTTACGTTTGTCCCCGACTCTTCCATCCCTGAGGGTCAGTTTGGAATACTATTTTGGGGGTCCCTTTGATGAAATGATCTGAATGGCTGTTGCCAGTGGGAGGGGATTGTGGGCTCATCCTGCCCATTCCTTGTCCTTGGGTGTGGGATGCCAGAACACCACCTGGAATACTGCTGTGGGCTGGTGTCTGGCGCTTCTGTAGCTGCTGCCCTGCCAGGGTCTTTCCTGCCGCCAGGAGCCACTCCCCAGGTGGGGTGTCACATAAGCCTCTCCCTCATCCCACAGGAGTGCTCGAGCTCCCAGTGTTGCTGCTGTGCTTCTGGGTGCACTGTTGGTGCAAGTCAGTTATTGCCTTACTCCAATCCAAAACCCCAGGGGAAGGGGCCACTGAGCTCCTTCCATCTTCCCAGGAGACATTGTGTTCATTTTTATCATTTTGTGGCTGAACTCCACTGACTGTTTTTGTGGATATGCTCCTGGGAGACCTGCTTGCTGTCAGACCTGCAACCCTTCCCAGTTGAATTCTTTCTCAGTGGAGGAGGCACACAGCATTCGCACCTATGGGGCACCTGCCTCACCTGGAGGCCATGCCGGTCACAGAGAGGTGGGCCTCCATGCTCTTCCTCAGCTGGGAGTTGTACAGGAAGTTCCCAGTTGTCTGCGGACTTGTGTAATTGATACTTCTCTGAATGCCTATGAACTTCTTGAATAAGTCCATTTTGGCTTTCCCTGGGGAGGGCCACAGCCTGGTGTGATATTTGGATGAGCTCCACCATTGTAGAAGCCACAGTGGGCTGCAGAGTCGTTGCTTTGCATGGCAGCACTTCCCTGTGTGCCCCAGCCCTGAGGTAGATCAGGACCTTTATTGCTTGGGAAGCAGAATTAATTATTCTAAACATCACTTAAAAACTGTGAGGAGGGCTGGGGATTTAGCTCACTAGCACCATGCCTGCCTCACAAGCACAAGGTCCCGAGTTCACCCCATCCCCAGTACCAAAAGCAAACAAACAAAAAAACAAAAACTATGTCAAGCTGGGTGTGGTGGCGCACACCTGTAATCCCCAGCACTTGGGAGGCTGAGGCAGGAGGATCACTAAGAGTTCCAGGCCAGCCTGAGCTACATAATGAGACCCTGTCTTTATAAAACAAAACAAAACAAAAAAAACTATACAGAGCTTTAGGTAGTCTGCTTGCACAATGAGAATCTTGGTAGATTTTCACTTTCTCCAAGTCCAGTGGAAATGACCATTTTGCTTGTTTTGTGCAGGCTTTGATTCTGATAACTCTTCTGGGGAATTTTCAGAGGCGAATCAGAAGATCACTGGAATGATTGACTTAGACACCAGCAAAAGTACAAGGAGTGGGAAAGGTGGGGAGAGGCCGTCCCAAGAGAATGGAATTCAAAAGCACAGGTATGACGCCTCAGCTCACTGTTTTAGTTTCCTGAGGTCCACCTGTGATCACCCCTGTACTGTGCCTCGCACCCCTCAGGTCTCCTGTGGGCTTGGGGCGGGCCCCTCCACACTCCCTGGATCTAGCCGTCTGCACCCTGGAAGACTCAGAAGTCAGTAGAGGGCAGAGTTTGGCCTAGTGGTTTCCCCATCCCTGAAACCCGGGACTCTGCTCGGGCTTGCTGCGAGCCAGGCTTCTTGCTGACTCTTGCAGATCCATCTGTTCTTCCAGACCGTGAATTAACCCTCTGGTTTCTTCTGCATCCTATTGTGATGCCTTGGCTGGTGGCCCGGTGAGGACGGAAGGGTTTGGTTAGCTTGCTAAAGCAAGACCCCAGTCCATTTTCCTCCCGCCAACACGTTCACGCTCACATAAGGAGATTCTGAGGATGGTGAGGGCTCCAGTCCTTCTCGAGCAACAGGAGTGTGGCAGGACTGGCTGTCCGTGGAGGCGGTGGGTGGGAGGTGGTGCTAGGCGCATGCTGAGGAATGTTGGTGCTAGGCCTCCGGCCTCACCCTGAGCTCCTCTCTGAATGTCAGCTGCTTGCCTGCGTGATGGGTCGCCCAGTGCCCTGGGTGCTTCACTCTCCCTTTCTCCTTCTTTCATGTGCTCAGCAGTTGCGGGAACTTCTCTGGTGCTTTGCAGCCCTGCCCGAGGCAGCACACGCTCTCTGGACCCCTACCATGCCTTCAGAGAGCATGGTGCCCTGTGACCAGCCGCCAGCCGCCAGCTGTCAGCCCAAGCCCCTGCCTCCCTCTCCCTGTCACCGTGCTCTGATACTTTGGCCTCTTTAAATAGTCCTTGGTTTCTCCCATTTTTGCTGCATGCCACCCTCCCCTCCTGATCTCTTCCTGCCACGCAGTGGCATTTCTCAACCAGGCCTGATGTGCCATCGCCAGCTGTCTACCTAAAGCTTAGGCAGGTCAGCTGTGGAATGCCCCATGCCCCTGGTCCTAAGTAGCTCTGGACAGCAGAAGCGTCCTGGCTTGGACATTGAGCAATACAGTTGTCCTCTTTTTAGGACAAGGATCAGTGTCCTCCCCTCTTATCCTTGGGGCTCAGCCCTGTTCACTCCTCTCCCAGCCACTGGGACCTCTTGGGGTCCGAGGAGCATCCCGCCTGCCCTGGTTCTTGCCCACCCTGCTCTGTTGGCCTGGAGCCCTGCCCACCTTCATGTCTCTGTCCCTGCTCATCTTTGTCATTTCCCACAGTGGTCATGCCCGCTACGTGTGGGGGTGCACGCCCATATTCCTGGCCCTGCAGAAGGCAGAGGCAGAGGCAGAAAGATTGCAAGTTCAAGTCCAGCCTGGATAATTTAGTGATGTGTAGAGTCTTGTCTCAAGAAATAAAAACCTCTGGGGATGTAGCTCAGCTGGAGGCCCTGGGTTCAGTGCCCAGCACCACATGCACACACGAGAAAGGAGTCCTCTGGGAACCCTCTGCCCCCAGCTGAGCTGTGCTCCCCTCATGATACCCTTGAGGTCTGCATGGCGTGCTGCGTGAGGACCGCTCGTGGAATGCACGCGTGTGGATCCAAGAGTTCATTTGCGTCTGTTCCATTTTGCCTCACAGCTGCCACACCCTCCCTCCCTCTTATGCCCCCATATGCACAGTGCTTTGAAACCGCTGCCCTGATGTGCTGTGCCTGAGGGCTGCATCACTTGGGACCTCAGCTATTCATTTTTGAGGGTCAGAGCATCCAAGTCAAGGGCCCCCAGTTTCAGATGCAGCGCCTCACTTCCATGAATAAGAGTTGCACAGAAAAATGCTCAGGTGGCCTCTGGGGAGCTGAGAGCAGTAGTGGGAACCAGGCGGCTACTCCATGGAGCCTCCCCGCACCCCCACTCTGTGGCATCCCACCAAAGCCAAGTCTCCACTCAGGTATCCCTCTCTCCCCAGATGGAACAGGGCGGCTGGGGCCTCTGCGCTGGTTGGAAGATGGTTTGAGAAAGAATGCAGCTTGGGAAAAGCAAGCACATGTTTAAAGGGGCTCAGCAGCAGGTTTCTGAAGAGGTTTACTTAACCCATCTCACCCCTGGTGGCTCCCCTCTGTCCACTGTCCTGGGGCTGCCCCAGGTGGGTGCAATGAGGGAACCTCCTGTGAGGCTCCAGCAGCAGCCTGTCCCCCTGGGCACGTCAGAATCATGCCTGAGCAGCCATTGTGGGATGCGCACTTTCCTTGGATAACGAATGCCCGTTGTCTTGCATTTCCCCAGGACATCACTGCCTGCTCCCATGTTCACCAGAAGCGACTTCAGTGTGTGGAGTATCCTGAAAAAGTGCATTGGCCTGGTGAGTTCAGATGGCTTGTTTGAAGCTTGAAACTTAGACATTTTAAATTTATGTAAGGGCTGAGGATTTAGCTCAGAGGTTCGGTGGCCTGCCTTGCAAGCGCAAGGACCCAAGTTCAATCCCTGGTACCAA